ACAATAATATTATTCTAATTTTTGTGAAAATACTAATATACTTTCTTAAAAAATATGTTTTATTTATTTTATTTATCTATTTTTACAGTGCGGTCCTACAGCATTTACTTGAGTAAAAGATCCAATTGTGTCTTTAATCCAAAAAAAAAAACAACCTTCGAAAGCAACTGCATAGGAAAAAATACACGTTTTATATTTATGCTTCAAGGGTAGAAATATTTATATTTACATGACATCATCAGTATGAGGATATTCAGATGGTCTAAAGAACAGAATTTAACACAATCAAGATTGCTATCGTTGTGCAGCTGTGTGTGGCTCTCTGACAAAGACTGTAAGAGACAAACTGAATGAAATGTACCTGAGACTAGTAGACTGTGTCCATCTACATTTAAAACAGCATCCGAGGAATGTTAGGCTATCAGTGGTAGGTCTATTCACATTTGTCAAATCATGTTTCAAAAGGAAAATAAATAACAAAAAATAAATAGCACAAATCCTGACATGTCATAGCCGGAAAAGCACACGTGTAATTGGAATACAGGGACACCTAAATGGAGCGATAACATCCGTAACATCATTAAAAACACTTGTGCTTTTCCTTCTTTGACATGTCTGCTGTGAAATAATGTCATAAGAGTAGGTGACATGCCTCTATTAATTAACCTACTGTCGTTTTTCAAAACACAAAAGTATGATTGCAGATAAATTTCCAGCATTTTAACAGGAAAACAAGTGAGCGGTACATGTGGACAACATGACACCAGATAATACTGAATGCTAATTTATAGCAAACATTTTGAGTTTTCTCTCTTAAATAAACAACTCCAAGCGTGGGAATGGAGAAATTAACGCAGTGCTGTATCACCGTGTACTCCCTGTCCCAGTACAGTCAGCGTTATTACATCAGTGCAGCTTATCTCCAGGGAACACCGGTATTAAACCCTCACTTCATACAACCTACACATGGGAGGGATCATTTAAATCAAAGCTACAGAAATCTGCAGGACGTATCGCCAGCTGGTGCTCCTGTATGCTTTCAATATCCCGTCTGAATGATGAGACGGATAATCAAGCTGCTGTTCCAGAAGGCAAGCAGGCCCCTGAAAAGTAATCTTAAAGCACTATTTACAGTATATGTGTCGGTGAGAGAGCACGTGTAACTCAAAATGTGCCGTCACTAGTGTCCATTCAGTTTATGAAGGATGCAGCGGCTCTAACTTGAACGGTGTACAGAGATCTAACACAAACATGATCATATAGCTTGTTCAGATTCAAGTAATAAAATGAAATTAACTGAAGGTACAAGGTTTTCAACAAAGTGCAGCAATAATGCGTTAATACAATAAACTGAGGGTTTCCATCTGGCTACACATGTCTGACTGGAGTCTTTCTCTGTCTGGCTCTGGAGGGGTCAGTCGGCTGTGGGAGGCTGATAACTGGGTCTGCGTGAAACCCGGTCCAGTCGGTCCACAGCCACGCTCTCAAACGCCCTCCTCATGAGAGGATGCTCCTCCAGGACCTCGTTGAAGCTGTCCACGCTCAGGGAGTAGAGGCGGCAGTAGGTGTCGGCCCTCACCGTGGCCGTGCGTCGTCCCTGAGTCAGCAGGCAGATCTCTGAACCGAGGAAGAGAGGGTGAGTTTATTCACTAAGCAGGAAAGGTGCTATTTTGAGTTTGGATTGGTGCCACTCTGGTGTCTGTGCAGTAAATATGACACTACAGCACCTGGTTAGCTATGCTTAGCGTAAAGCTTGGAAACACACAAAATACCAGCATTTAATATCTCTTTATTTTAAGATTTACAACAAACAAAGTTGGGGATTCATTGGAGCTATGTTGTGGTTGGGTACCTTTGGATATAAAGAATATTTCCCAGAAAGTCGAAGAATTCCTTTGAGCTCTATTGACTGATTAACAGTGATTACAATCAAAAATGTATGGATCCTGTAACATAAAAAGTGACTTTGGTTTTCAGGGTGATCCATCAATCCAGGCTAAAAGTCACCATCAGGAGGGTGTTAACTTGCACTGACTAAACAACTACTCCACAAGTGCATGCACGGCGCAACACAGTGGAAATAACTTCTCATTAGGGATGTCCTATCGGCCGATATTGGCATAGAAATGTAATATCTGTCAATATCGTTATCGTTTTTGGGGGGGTTTTTTTGCCTATAATGAAAACCGATTAAAAAATGCCTGGATTTTGCCGGCATTTACCGGCGCACAAATGATGACGACTTCAAACATATATTGGTATCGGTTGATATTGGAATCAGAAATTGAGAGTTGGACAATATCGGCATATCGGCTATTGGCAAAAAAGTCAATATCGGGCATCCCTACTTCTCATACAAGATTAAGCTTCCCACCTGCATCTAGGACACTCCTTCAAGGACAGAAATGTTCACATTCTTAACAGAGAAGCTAGAAAAGAGTGCAGGAAGCCCTCTATGGTGAACTAGAACGGCCGTCTCTGAACAAAAACACGACGGACACGCCTCATATTAGGTGCTTATAATGCCGTCCTGACATCCCTCCAAAGACAGCTTCACCACCGTTAACACCTTGAGTCATGTGAGTCTTGAGTTGTTACCAGGCCATGAGTCATGTGATGTGAGTTGAGGGTGAAAATAAATACCGGTAACCTGAAGAAAGCTCTTGGATGAGATCGGAAAGAACCAACAAGAAAAGTCCAGTTTCCTCCTAAAGCTCTTAAACTTGCACTTATCCACCACTAAAGACAGGATTTCTGAGTTTGTTATCAACAGATTATATAGAAATTCTATATTATTAAAATAGGTTAAAGACCAGGGGCCTCTGGAAAGATTTAGATTCTTTTATACTAAAATGTTTGCAAGACAAATAATGAGCTAGTGAAGCATTTATCAGTTACTTAATCAACAAAAAAATAATCAGCAACCTTTCTAACATTCATTTGAGTAATTTTTAGAGCAAAAATGTTATAATTCACTTGTTCCAGCTTACGTTTACTAATTCAGAATCTTATTATCAGATAAATCAGTCATGAAAATAATGAGAAGCTCTTGCCTTAAATACAGCGTGGATAAAAATAATACATGGATTAGCTTTAAATTTGGGACGAGAACTTCTGCAGTGACGTGAAAAAAGGGGGTCAGCCACAGCTTTAATAACAGGAGAGAAACAACAAAAAGGAAACAGAGCCTCTTACAGATTTGAAAGAGAACCGTGTGAAGGTTGAGGTCAGCGGCAAACGATTTACCTCCAAAATACGCCCCGTCACTGAGCTTAATCTCCTTACTGCCGCGGGGCACGACGGTGACGGTGCCGTGCTGGATGAAGTACATTTTCCGACCCAGCGTTCCCTCTCGTATGATGAAGTCTCCGGGTTGGAAGACTTCGAAACGCAGCTTGGTCAGGATCACCGTCACAAAATGGGGGTCGGTGTTGGCGAACAGGGGCATGTTGGCGACCAGCCCGCGGCAGTTGTAGCTGACGATCTCCTGCATGGAGGGAAGACCATAGATGACATTCAGAAATAGTTGAAGTTATCATTCTATCTTGACATACAGTTTACTATTCAGCTGGTAGGGATTTGTGCATGTATGCTCTTGTCTTTTGTCCAAAATCTAGATTTGGAGCCAATTTTACATTAAAGTTATTGAGTTACGTGTTTAAAGATTTTGTAGTGAAACAAAAAATTGGGCAGCTGTGGCTCAGGTGGTAGAGCGAGTTGTCCTCCAATCGCAAGGTTGGCGGTTCGACCCCCTCCACAGTTGAAGTGTCTTTGGGCAAGACACTGAACCAGAAGTTGCTCCCAATGGCAGGCAGCACCTTGCATGGCAGCTCTGTTACCGTTGGTGTATGAAAGTGTGTGAATGGGTGAATGAGAAAGACATTGTAAGGTTCTTTGGATAAAAGCGCTGTATAAGTGCAGACCATTTACCAAAATTAATTGTAACATTTCAAGCCAATAGTTCCAGCTGCTCAGTTGTGATGATCTCCTGCTTTTCTTTGTTTTATATTATAGTGAAGTGAATACTGTTGGGTTTTGGTTTGTTGTTTTACCCAGACAAGATGAGGGCTGCGATTATTTTTGTATCATTTAACCTGTTAAATAGTCTTTCAGTTAGTCATTTGGTTTATGAAACATCAAAAAGCGGTGAGAGATTGACAACTGCAGCTTTCCAGAGTTAAAGGTGACGCCTGAAATCATTTCAGTTCACCACGACTAACCAGGAGAATCAGCAGCTTTCACTTCTGACAAGATTTTGGATCTTTCTCTACTTTCCCATCCATTATCTATACACCTCTTAATCCTCACTAGGGTCATGGGGGGCTGGAGCCTATCCCAGCTGACTCAGAGTGAAGGCAGGTTCACCTGGACAGGTCACCAGTCTATCACAGGGCTACACTTAGAGACAGACAACCAAGCACACTCACATTCACGCCTACGGACAATTTAGAATCACCAATTAACCTCAGCATGTTTCTGGACTGTGGGAGGAAGCTGGAGAACCCGGAGAGAACCCACGCTGCACAGGGAGAACATGGAGACTCCACGCAGAAAGATCCCGGGTGTCCTCACTGGGATGCAAACCGGCGACCCTCTAGCTGTGAGGCAACGGTGCTAACCACCGCTCCACCTTGCAGCCCCATGATGAAAATAATAGTTTTTTATTTCAGATTACTGGCAGCCTCTTCAGGATGTCTCCTGCCTCTCACTTCATGTCAGCTGTGATTGATGCGTTGCTAATCTCAGCTGTATCATCCATCCATGAGGACACGTGTCAGTAAATGAGATATCAAGATATGAAGTCAAAGGTGTGATGATCAACACACCTCCTTGAGCGGATCGCTGAGCTCTCCGAGGATGCTGTCCTCATCGAACATCTTGCCCTGGAATCGCTGCTCGTAATAATCGTGGATCCTCTGTCTCACATCCGCCGGTAGCTTGTGGAAAGACATGTACTGCTCCACCTGCTTGTACTGAAAACATTTGTAGAAAACACACGTTGGTTTGACCTTCACGAGGACACGGTTACAATTCTGCAATTAGTCACATTTCCCACCATGTGTTTGACGAATTATTCCCAACCGCAGTAATCACGCACTTATTCTATTTGCTTTGCGTGTTTTTTTTCTCCCGTTTTAAGTGGATTACAAACTCATTTGTAATGGGCATTAGCGAACAGTGATCCAAAACAAAGGCTTCACCATTTGTTCATCATCCGCTCCGCTTTATCTTGTGAAAATCCCCAGGAATGGGTCACAGCAAGGCCACAAAATCCATTAGATAATACACATATTCTCTAGGCATTTGGCACAATTTCCACATAATAAATTACGAACAAGTAAGCAAGCCTATCATAGGAAACATGGCCGTGATATTAAACCTCAAAGCCAGAATCACATTAGCGTCCACGTGAGGCTCCTGGGACATATTGTCCACAAAACAACGGACGCTGAAGGTCAAAAGGATTTAGTTTTGCGAAAACTTTCCAGCTCTGAGCGGAGATGATACCTTCTCTTGATACTGGCGATGTGAAGCGTCCAGGGACTGCACCAGGTTGGTGGCGTGGCCAAGGAACATGGCGTAGCAGGTCGCCCCGACGACCATGCTGATCATGGTGAGCCACACGTCGGTCATGCCCTCCGGAGGGTTGGCGCCATATCCGATACACAGCATGTGACTCATAGCCATGAACAGCGCGTAGGAGTACTGGATGTGCCATGTGGAGTTCTGAGCAGTGAAATCGAGGGGAGAAGAGTCAGGACACAGCAATGTGGTCATGTGGAGGGTTGATAATCAAACCTAGACTGGCTCAGAAAAGACAGTGAATGTGGCCAAATGCATAAAAGAGGTTTGGGCATGTTTTAGTTCAGGGTTTCTATATGTTTCCTCTAGTTGTAGTATTCACTAAAGGTTATTACATCTAAAATCTCCAGCGGCTTCCTGTTTGACCATGTCTGATTTGCTCAAAACCTTCTTATCATTAACTATGAATAATTAAAATGGTATCTGTCAAGTTTTAGATGATATATTTCATACTTTCTGAGATATATTTTAAAAATTGACTCACTTTCAACACATTTTTTCACACATTTTAAGCCGACATTTGACCGAAAACACCTCAGGGGCTATTAAAGATAAAAGCCTGATTTTTTTTGCTGTTATTTCTCATCATGTCATTGATTCAGAACCTGCAATATTGGACAAGTAGATCAAATAATGTCTGAGTATGAATGAGTTAAAGTATGAAGAAAAAAACTGAAGCCATCGTGAAAAGTCCCATGTTTTCCAATAACAGATAAAATTGATAAAGCAGAATTCAGCTAGGGTTTTTTTTTTAACCACATGTAGTTGCATTTCACAATAACACAAAATAAAACATACTGAATACTTTTTAATATGAAATAATTGATCACAGGACAGAGTTTGAAGTTCAAAACGATATAATTAGTTTTGTTAATGTGCTCCAAGATGGAACATTTAATGACAGCTTCATTTTTTTCATATTTCAACTCACCTCTAATCAGAGATTATTTGACGTCCAATAATGCAGACTGTAAACCAACAGCACGATTAGAAATAACAGTAAAAACCTCAGGCTTGTCTTTAATATCACTGGAGATATTGTCATCCGAACATAGTCTCAAATTTCAATTTAAGAGGAATATGTACTGAAAATGGGTCGACAGGTGATTATTTAAAAGTGCAGGATGAAAATAGGTCAACGGGGTAATGTAAAAAAACTGTCTCAATAAGTATTTTGGTATATTAAGCTAAAATTTCACACATATCTTTATGAGTCTCTATATTTTATGCTGTGAGATTTCAAGTAAATCAGATTGATCGAGCTAAAATTGTTCCCAAAATGTGATGATTTAAGATGGAATGACGCTATAGAGACAGCTGGTTCATTTGAGATTAGAGATTTCGGGAGGTAAACTTTAACTTTCTTGCCAAGAGACACATTAGAAGATGAAAACAAGAGGCTCTGATTAGCTTTACTCAGGAAAAAGACGGAAAAAACTGTTAAACCTCTTCAGAAGTCAAAAACATGCCTCACTAGCCTTTCTACAGCTCAACAAGTGCGTCATATGCCTACAGCTTTGTCTGAAAACCAAAGTGTAGAAATTACAAGATGTAGATTTATTTATGGGGCAAATGTTCCGGACTGTTTCCTGGATGTATGCGGTGTAATTACTCAGCTCTAGGGGCAGATACAGACAGGAAACCCATCAGGTAAACATCCTTTTTGTTCTATTTATATGGGGAAACCATACACAGATAATTGAACATATACTGTGTGTGAAATTTAAAGTTAGGACCCATGATAAAGATGAAATCAATAAATAGTTACAGCTGTTAAAGCTGTGTAGGTCAAACTGGGGGAGAACACATAGGTATTGTTAAAAGCACTAATTAAAACAAAAACAATGATATGAAGTCATAAAGAACAAGTTATTTGACTGTTATTAAAATTTGGTTTAATAGAATATAGTGTCTGTGAGTATAGACTGCAGTTTGGGTTCCAGACTGTAGGGGAAAGGTTTAATTTTTGATGAACCTGTACTCACCACCATGTTGTTTTTAGACACCCAGCAGTCTGGAGGGAAGTCCTGCAGCATCGGCACCATGAAGGTCAAGCAGCCGTCCCAGTGGCAAAGCAGCAGCATCATGCCAATCAAGTTGACGATACGCACCACTGCACTGGCCAGGTCGTAAGTCATGTGGAAAATCTGGCAGGGAGGAAGTTACACGGAGGAGAATGAACAAACTAGAGGAGTTCAGAACTTCTGACGTGTCTGTCCTGTTTCTCCTTTTACCTCTTCCCACTGGTGAATGTACCGGATGAGGCGGGACAGTCGGAGGAGCCGAAGCAGACTCAGGATCTTGGTGAAACGCACGATGCGCAGAGCCCGGGCCGTGCGGTAAACGTCGGAGGACTCGTGCCGGGACTCCAGGTCGACGATGAGGAAGATGTAGTCGACGGGGATGGAGGAGATGAAGTCCACCATGAACCAGGTGCGCAGGTAGTGCATGCGGATCTCTTTGGGGTCCAGGATGATGTGGCTGTCCTCTCCCAGGATGCCTGTACGGAAGTTGAAAACCAGGTCCATGAGGAAGAGCGTGTCGGACAAGACGTTGAAGGTGATCCAGGGCATCGTGTTCTGGTCCTCGAAGAAGGTGATCCCCCAGGGCAGGATGACCAGATTACTCATCATCAGCAGGAGCATCACGATGTCCCAGTAGAACCTGCACAGGACAAGAGACGTGGGAAGCTGTCAGCTGAGGTCAGCTGGCTGTGACATTGTGAGCACAAATACGCCATAATCTCACTAGACAAGAAAACATAACTCAAAGATCAGAGTGAGTAACTCAGAAAATTGTATAGGGCCTGCTTTGAATATTCCTGCTCGCTAATGAAGAGAGTAAATGATGCTCTCAGTGTTCATTAAGGATTCATTCATGAACTTTATCTGCCTGGATTTCAAGAGAATTTTTTTAAAATTGGAGTTTAGTTGGATGGAGGTTCTATCTAGAGCTGCAACAAACGGTTATTTTACTTGTTTTGTCCAAAGATATTCAGTTTACGGTCATAGAGGAGGAAAGAAGCCAAAAGACGTTGCGTTGTAAAAGTGCCATGTTTTTGGACTCGTGTAATCAGACTATGATATTTATTTTATTCTGCTTTTACTTGATGTATTTATGTATTCGATCTATTCACTGTATTTTCCCAGTTTGTGTCTGCATGTATTGGCTGCGGCATGGGTGAATCGCCCAAGACTAATCTCCCACACCTGGGACAATCAAGTTAATCTTGAATCTTGAATTAATGCTGAAACTGAGACGTGCAATAGTTCAAAACAGTACTTGGCTATATTTGAATGTTTAAAAATGGCGTACAAGGAGCAACGACTGACTAGAAAAGCCTGAAAAAAACAAACAAAAAAACAAGACCAACAAAAGAACACCCTAAAGAAAATTGCACAACTATTAAGGCTAATTAGAAATACATGAGTACAGGAAATAATTTGATTTTTTAACCTCATTTTGGGGAACAGTTACCAAACTTTTTAAAGTTGTTTGTAAAATTTAAAAAAAATCAGATTTGGTCATCCTAGACATTTAGTTGTTGCGTCCCTGTGACCACTGAGTTGTGGCTCCCTCTCCATTCATTCAGAGAGGTTTTTTTGAGGGAAAGGACTTTCTAGCTACAACTAAGTAGCTTAAGACAGCAGGAAGAGATGGACTGGTTTAATTAGCTTGGAGGACTTTTTCTTAAGGAAAAGGTCACACTGTACTGAGTGCATTTACACTGAGCTGAGATCCAGTCTGATGATTAATCTGATTTCACTCCATGTGTGCATTGTTCCACATCTAGATCCAAAGTGTGTGTTAGAAGCTATCGATGCAGGATATTAGATTTTTGTCGATATCTGATATTTATCTCCAATAATGTTTTCACAAAAGCATTTTAATCTGATGTTCAAAGGAGGTATTAAGGATATTTCTCACTTCTAATATTGTTCCTATGACTAATTCAGAACGCTACATTTGGAGCCTATCCCAGCCGACTTAGGGCGAAGGCAGGGGACACCCTGGACAGGTCGCCAGTCCATCGCAGGGCCACACTTAGAGACAGACAACCAAGCACACTCACATTCACACCTACGGACAATTTAGAATCACCAATTAACCTCAACATGTTTCTGGACTGTGTGGGAGGAAGCCGGAGAACCCGGAGAGAACCCACGCTGCACGGGAAGAACATGGAGACTCCACGCAGAAAGATTCCGGTGCCCCCACCGGGACGCAACCGGCGACCTTCTTGCTGCGAGGCAACAGTGATACCAACTGTGCCACCTTGCAGCCCACATTATGAAACATTCTTAATTAAAACATTCCCACAAAGGAATAAAAGGAGGGAGGAAGGACGTTCTCAACAGTCAAACGATGTTTTTAGCACATTTTTAGAGAAACGTCTTCATAGAACTTTATCCTGCCTTTAAGAAGGAAAGAAAAGAAGAAGAACTTAACCTGAAAAACATTACTTGAAGTTTCTCAGAATGCTTTTAGAACAAAAAATCTAGCTGACATTAAGGTTTTTTCTTAACTATGAGGAAAACTACCCTCGACTTACATGCAAAAAGTCGACTTTTTTATGTTAGCCAAACAAACAAGTTGATGAATTTAAAAATCTTCATGCACTGACAGCGTTGACGATGCAGATGTCATTTTGCTGCTGGTGTAAATGAGGTCAGAAAGCTGCAGAAGTTGAGGTAAAGTCAGAGAATCTGAAACGGCCACCAAAGGCCAGGTGAAGTCATCCAATCAGGAGGACAGAGTGGCGTCCTGGGAATGACCCACTTCACAGTGACCCTTATTCTCATAACAGCTTCTGTCACAGGAGGAACCCCTCGTTAAAAATGAACCATGTTTGCCTAATGGGGCTAAATGTACCACCGAGAAGGTGAAGATGAAAGGCGAGCGTCTCTGCTGCTGTCCAGCCTGTGATGTCTCTCACTGTCTGCTTCATGTCATACCCGCCTATAGGTCTGCAGCGTGTCGTTATACACCGGCCGGTTTGGGTTTCCTCACAGATTGTTTCCATCAAGTGTCTATCACTTCGGTCTCTCTCTCTCTCTCTCTCTCTCTCGGTCTCTCTTCCCTTCCAGGAGGCGCAGTAACAGAATATGAAGCAGACCATTTTTGATTACAGTCACCCTCCGCCAGTGATTGCAACACGAGGCCCACGAGCAAAGCGACCTGCTTCCTCAGCCCTGTCGGAGTCGAGCGACGGAACTGATTGATGGGTTATTACGCTGTCATTCATGTTTATCCCTCCATCAATCTCCCGCGTCCGTGTCCTCGATGTCTACACGCTGGTTTACATGACTACTTATCATCACTTCTCATGTTGCAGCAGATTAGCGGCTGCTTGCTGCTAATAACGCCACCAAAGACTCTGTGAAGGAATTATCGCTGTCGCCATGACGCTGGTGGCTTGTGTGTGTGAGTGTGTGAAAGGGCAGCGGCGTGGTTTGTTGGAGCCAGGATTGGATTATTCGATTAAATAAGAACAAATATTATAAGTATTCCAAGTAGGAAAGCCACATTTCTTCCCTTTTTCAACCACTTCCAACGCCAACATCTATTGGATGGACTAGCAAAGGTCAAATCTGCACGACTGAGCTCATTTCCCAACAACCTCAGCTGCATTTTAAGTTGCATAGAGCTAATTGCAGGGCTTCCTGAACATAGATTAAGCTTAGTCCTGGATTGAATTTAATTTTCAATGGAGAATCTTCATGCAAAAGCCAGTTTAGTCCAGGACTAAGCTTGATCTGTACCTGCTAAACATCTCCAACATCATGACTGGATCCACAGGGCAGAAGGGAACCGACTATCTGACCTCAACCCCTAAAACAAAAGCAGCTGAGCAAAAACAATTGTGCCGTTCCAACTCATCTGTTTTAAAGTGGAAGTTTGAGCATAAGGTCTAAGGAGAGCAGGCCTCCCGTAATCCCCCCCTCAGCTGTCTGTGTATTATTGCATAATAGAGCAAGATGGGAATTATACGGATTCTTATGGGCAATAATCCCCGAGCATCGGTTTATCCTCTCTGTCTGGCATCGGCCGGATGTTTAAAAATTGTTTAAATTTGAAGGCGACTTTTATTAGCGGCCTAAAGAACAGATTGCTTTGGGCGAGGCTGTTGTTTAGTCCCTAGATGCTGAATGAACCAACAAATCCTCCCATAAGTGAGGTCAAACTGGGCCAAGAACTTATTGGATGTTTTTCAGGTGGAATACGCTGAATCAACCGGATCAATGAATGCAGTTTTCCCTTCTCACTATAAAAGGGAGTCACAAGGGAGTGGTATGATTAATCCAGATGATCTTGTCCTATATACTGTATCACTAATCAAATCCCTTCATCGCCTTATCATGTGCTGGGAGCCCTGACATCAGCTGCTGTACTGCAGCCTGTCCTTGGAGGAAGTGGGTGTGAGGCTCAGTCACAGGATGTCTTGTGGGTGGAAATGCTTTCAAGGGAACTTTATGGATGAATCTGATGAACTGGGGAGGTCTTGCACTGGGAAAATGATCCATTCTGGCCCCACAAACTTAACCTGGATGCTAGCTCAACCTCATGTTTACCTGAAGTCACTGTACGGGTGGATGATCCACACTCCAAAGCTCTTGACCCTCTCCTGCTCAGCAGCAACGCCCTTGTGACTGCCAAACATGCGCAGGGAGAACTTGTTGACCCCGGGCTGCAGCATGGAGCCGAACTGCTTCTGGAAGTAGGTGGACTGGTCCTGAGACGACACGTCCACGCCTCCATCGCTCTCACAGGGGTTGTCCAGCAGGCCGTCCGGATCCGCCGTGTAGTCGTCGTTGTGCGTCTGCACCAGAGAGAGGAGCGTCTTGGTCACGTCGCTCCTCTTCTCCGCCTTCGGTGAGGGGGTCCCGGGGGGACTCCTCTGGGAGCCACTCCTCCATCTGGAGAAGCGGAGGCTGCTCCAGCTGCGGTACCTGGACGTCTCCGCCTTCGGGGCTGGGCTGTCAGTGATGCCCTTGTGCTCGTCTATGCTCCTGGAGGGGCTGGTCATCTTTACGCACGCAGCTGAGCCAAACAAAGTCCCTGTTCTGATCCGGCTGGTTTGTAAAGTTCACTCACCAATAAAGTTTTGACGCAAATGCCATATTCCACTCTACTTTAAAGGAATTATATATCCTAAAACAGAAAGATGGAACACAGAATATCCTCGCAGCCACTAGTAACACCATGAAGCAGCAGCAGGTCAGCTCTCCACACACAACACATTGCAAACCACAAAATCTTACGCAAAAATACTAATTCTCTCCTCACGAGTTTTCAATGTACATCCGGAAAAAAAAAGTTGCAACGTCCGTTAAGAAAGTTCCCTTCTGGGATGAATGAATTCTGCTCCGCGTAAAAGTAAAACCTGCAGCCGCGGATGTCCTGCGCTCGCCTCCAGTGTGACCGTGAGAGGACGGACGCAAATTGACAGACAGGGCTCAGTAGCCTTCAGTAATCGGCTTGTTGGCAAAAGTGCGTCCACTCACCTCTCTCTCTCTCTCTCTCTCTCTCTCTCTCTCTCTCTCTCTCTCTCTCTCTCTCCTCTTTACTCCCCCTCCTCCTCCTCCCCTGAGGCGCGTCCTGGAGCGGAGATGCGGTTGCAGGTCATGTTGCGCAGTCAAGACGCGGAGCCTCCAGGTCAGTAGAAACATAATGAATTACTCATCGCTGGTCCACAGGTGTCAGAAGGTAAAACCAGCAGCATCCTCACCTGCCATGACTTATTTTAGTCTCGGTAGCGACCCTATTAGCCACTTTAGCTCACATTCAATGCAGGTTCCTCATTGGAAGGCACTCATTTTGCACAAAGTCTACTTTTTCACTATATTTCCTAGTTTTTGCGAAATAACAGCCTCAGTTTCAAAAGTCATTATTTCTGTCTTTAAAACACATACAGGCTAAAACATAGTTTTTCATGCACTGCCCAATCTTAAGATTTTTTGGATATTTTGCTTCTTAGAAAACGAAATCTATCAAAGTCAAGCAGTAAGAATGACAGAAAAATATGCTTTAAAAAGACTCAAACAGAGCATATAGCTCTTATTAGTTTACTAATTTACTTTTTATTCAATGATGAATGCACATTCACATATCACTTATAGAATATACCCACCTACAGGGATATAATGGAAGTTTAGCAACAAAAATAAATACCATAAATATATCAGAATTTGTAGTAAAAATAGAATAAAATCTGTCGATAAACATGATAAACTCCCTTTAGTATAGAAATTGAATTGTAGTAAAATTACCATAAAATGCCTGAAAAAATCTGAAAAAAAATAATTACAGACACTGTTTTCTATTTTTGACCTGTTTTTTCAGTAGTTAGCGTGTTATTTCTTCTGTGATTTTACTAGTTACTTGATATAATTTGAGAAAATACAGTGAATCTGTAAAACAAAATGAAACAGTTAATTTTTTTACAGTCTCTAAAAACTTTTTTTTGTTCAGAGAAGTGGAGAGAAAATATCCAAAATATACATCTCTGTGTTTATTGTACTACATTTCCTATTGGGAATTTATGTCGCGTGTATTTAAGGTAAATCAGACCAAACTTCATTTGCATATTGAAACCACAACATTTTTGAAAACTTGTAAGATGAAAAATTATTATCCTTATACAACTAATAAACCGGGGTAGTTTCATGGTGATATCTAATGGTAAAGAGTAGTTTCCAGTCGTAATGTGTGTAATTATTCAGTAGATTTCCTTAAAGCCTGTTTGGTCAAAATGAATATTTTCCTAGTATCTGAGCCAGAAATCTCCACTTCAGTAGCATTAACAAACACCAGCTTCTTTTTTTTCTATGTATATTCTGAAGAATTTGAATAATAATGATGATGAATTTTATTTATAGGCGTCTTTCAAAAAACTCAAGGACACCTTACAAGCAGCAATAAGCAAAGGTAAAAACATAACACTTAAAGGAAGGAAATTTAACATAACAGAAATTTACAACATTTTAAAGCAGAAGTTTTGCAGTGAGATGAATGAAAGTCATAGTGAGTGAACAGGTGGGTTCTGAGACGTGATTTGAAAACGGCCAGACAGTCGATGTTTCAGGTGGAAATAAGTCCCAGAGGCAGAGCGGCTGAAGGATCTAGACCCCATGGTGGTCATGCAGGCAAGAGGGATGGTGAGGCTAAGGGAGGAAGAAGATCTTAAGTAAAGGAGTTCAGTAAGGTACGGAGGGGAGAGGTTGTGGAGGGCCTTGAAGGTTAAGAGGATGATTTTAAAGATTGTGTGATTGGGAGCCAGTGAAGCTGTTGGAGAACAGGGTATGATGTGGTGGATAGATGGTGTTCTTGTGACGATCCGGGCTGCAGCATTCTGAACCAGTTGGAGGTTATGGAGGGACTTGAGGGGGAGACCAGAGAGAAGAGAGCTGCAATAATCCAGGCAGGAGGTGACCAGACGAGAGTGGTTGTTTTATAGAGAAGGTTGTTCAGATGTCATTCATAGAACGTTTTATATCTAAAAACATGGTGAAATTTGATTTTCTCTTGCAGTATTTTTCTGATTTAAGAAGTGATAACAGAAATATCCCATCTTTTATCCTATATTTTATTGTGATACACCAGCAGGTAACATGTTTACCGGTAGTGTCTCTCCTTGGAAAAAGAATGTACCATAAACACTGGCGTCTTTATGTCAGAGGGTTTAATTTGAACTAATAATAACACACACCATGCATTAAAGACATTAAAATCAATTATTTTGCAGTTAATTTATAGAAACTTCATTCATCAAAACCCATAAATAAGTTCCTGAAAGGATGAGCTCTACATTTTTGGGAAATTTTATCTTCTTGCAAAGATGAAAAGATCGACACTAATCTCATGTCTGTGCATTAAACATGCAGCTACAGACCTTTAGTATGAAAAAAAACCATAAATAAATGCAAATTTCACCTCTTCAAAATGCTCGATTGTCCCGATAACCAACAGAAATCCAGAGGCACTAACATTCAAGAAACTGGACACAGTAAATGCTGTTAGTAGATAAATTAGCTGAATTATTTAACGACTAACCATTTAAGCAAAACTCAGCTGAGCGAGTCAAACGCCTTTTCAGCAGTGCTTCAGTTTCACACTTCGCAGTCTTGCTCTGGAGTTTGGTGCCACTTGTGCTGCAGCTCTGTGGATTTTCTGAGTCAGGCTCTCTCAGGTTTGGATGTTCATATTCAGACACAGAAAGGTCTGGTATTGTTTGGTAGCTGTACAATGAAAGCAGCTGTGCCACTGAACTGAGAACTGCAATATTTTTAATCTGTAAGAGCAGATGAGGAAGATCCTGACAGAGTGAACACCACAAGTCTTATTTTAAATGTATTTAATGCTGTAAGGAAATCATTGCTGCAAAGATACCTAGTTACACTTTAGTGGAATCAGTTAAATGAAAGCTTTTCTAAAAATAGAGTTACAACAGAGATAAAAGCTCTCTCCTGCTCTTTTGTCTTGTGTGACCGGGTCGGTGTCCTGGTCGTGTCACTTGTGTTGCCCCCCTGTGGATCACGTTTCACCGCTGTCGGCCTCGTACTCTCTGAAGTGTTCTCTCAAGCACACCTGAGAAGCTGCAGCCACAGTTACCGGGTCACAGCTTCGGCCCGCTCCTTGCTTAAGTTTCGGATATCCAAGTTACAGTAAGCAGTTAATTTTTTAAATGAACTAAACATGTTCCAGGTGCAGCTCTTTAATGCATTATACAGCTGAAAAAGGAGCAGGCGAGTACAACATCAGCCGCGATGAGGATCGGTGAAGTCACAATGGAACATTCCAGCATTTGACAGAAATGCCAATGAAACCGCCCCTTTGACCTTCTGAAAGAAAGAATTTGACATTTTGAGAAACTCGCTTAGTTTTTTTTTTTTTTTGTTAAGATGTTCTGTAAATGTGAAGCTACAACCACAAAAACTCGAAAAAGACGAATGAAGACTCAGTAAATAGACGCATAATCCAGTAAATGAAACCTTTAAATTGTCACTCTTTTTTTTAAACATTGTGAACCACATGTATGAAGTAGGGCTGCAAGGTGGAGCGGTGGTTAGCACTGTTGCCTCACAGCTAGAAGGTCGCCGGTTCGCATCCCGGTGAGGACACCCGGGATCTTTCTGTGTGGAGTCTCCATGTTCTCCCCATCCAGTGTGGGTTCTCTCCGGGTTCTCCGGCTTCCTCCCACAAGGTCCAGAAACATGCTGAGGTTAATTGGTGATTGTAAATTGTCCGTAGGTGTGAATGTGAGTGTGCTTGGTTGTCTGTCTCTAAGTGTAGCCCTGTGATAGACTGGTTACCTGTCCAGGTGAACCTGTCTTGACCCTGAGTCAGCTGGGATAGACTCCAGCCCCCCACGACCCGAGTGAGGATTAAGCGGTGTATAGATAATGGATGGATGGATGGATGGATGGATGAAGTAGGAAGCAGTCGGTAGATTTTGTTACCTGTGGATGGAGAATTTTCCAGCTTTCCAGTCTTAGTGCTAACCTAAAGCACACAACTGCTCCTTTCTAACTCTTATTATTTCCCCACATCTTTTCCTTTAAGCGTTCATGGAATGTGTTTTCTTTTGCACATTTAAACAAAACACCACTAGGTGTCCTGATCCCTCAACTCGAGGTCAGCAACACAAAAGCAGAACATAGAGAGTGCTTTAACACCCAGATGAGATTATGGTCTTATGCTGTTTCATGTGCATTAAAGCTCTAAATATGATAAATGTTTCCACACTTATGCATTCCTGTTGGCTGTGAAAGCCTGCAGGATTAACTGGATGCTTTTTATTTCTTTATTTCTAAACCTTTCATTTAATAAAGCTCTTCTCAGTCGGAAGCAACCAGTGCAAGTACGACAAAAACTCTCCACCGCTGCTTACTGTCTACTGTAATGATGCTGTTATCTACAGCAATGAATCCATGATTAGGTTACACAAAAGTCCCTATTTAGGACCGACAAATCCTGTTCTGCCCTACAAAGCCACTGCGTAGCAGTGTATTTGTCAAAATGGATCTA